TCAGGATTGGAAACAACTATTACAACGACTATTTGGTGAGCAAAGAATGGCTATGGTGTGCTGTAACCAGAGCAACAGATTTCAATAATGTATATTTTTCAAAAATGATAAAGCCGACGAAGATATGTTTAAGAATTTGGTGGTTAACTATTTTAAAAACAAGGTTGAAGGTTACAAAGGACAAGACAGAAAAGGAGGAAGAGAAATAGTTGATGAATACATTGATGAACATGTTTGAAGATGTTCAAGGGTTGTTGTGCAAACTGTGGAGTTAAATTTAATCTTGATACCAGAGGTGGCAAATTGTCAAGTAACTTTAACGGCGCAGAGAGGTGACAATGGACTGTGCCATTCTATTGACAATTGCGAGGCTTATTGTTGCCACTGCAATTCTTCTTCACATTAGTTTTTTTTCAATATAATAAACTTAATAAAATATTGATATGAGTAAGCAAGAAATCATAGGAAACATATACTTTTATAAAGCAGGGTTTGGTTCCAAAAACACTACTTTGAAGGATGCAAGAGAGAAAAACAAATCTATTACTATGAAAGATGTTGAATATTTTTTCAAAAAGAGTGTAGAGATAAAAATGAACCCGAGAGGCTATAACAGCTTTGTTGCTCCACATAACAATCATAGATACCAAGTTGATATATTCTTTATTTCTCAAAAAATTAAAGGTAAGACAAAGATACAGAGCTGGATTAGTCTGTATTGATTGTTTGAGTAAGTATGCTATCGTAGTCCCAGTAAGAAGGAAAGAGACAGGCAGTGTTATTCAAGGAACAAAGAAAGCGATAGAGAAGATGGGCAAGAAACCTGAAATCATATACACCGACGACGAGAAAGCTATAGCAAGTGGTGAATTCCAAGCATATGTAGAAAGCGAAGGCATTGAATTGTATAGGACAAGAGGCCACCCTGCTTTTGCCGAGCGGTTTATAAAAACTGTTAAAGACAAATTATGCAAAAGAGTTGAGAACGATGAAAAAAATAAAAAAAAAACATATACAATGGATAGGCTACATAGATGAAATTATGTTAACTTACAATAAAAAAGATGTGCTTTCCGCTACTGGTCAAACACCGTATAAAGCCAGAGATAAAGACAATGAATTCAAGTCAAGATTAAACATTGCAATGAAAGCAAAGAAACAGAGGTTCTATCCTGAACTATCTGTGGGAGACAAAGTAAAAATCAAAAGGAAGAAAGCAACAACGGAGAAGGAGAGAACCTCACACTTTTTGAAAGGTGAGTATACAGTAGAGTCCATTGATGAAAATTGGAATCAAACATATTATACATTAGAAGGATACAATCGACCACTATTGAGGCATGAATTGCTGAACATATAAATTACCATTTATAGGAAATCTACTTAAAGGAATATTATATATATATTAGCGAAATGTCATTCAGTGATACAAGTAGTGAACGTGAAATCAATCAAGAAGAATATACCAAACAAAAAATCTTAAGCTGTAAATGTAGTGAATATGCAACAATAAAATGAATTACCAAAAATATTTTTACCGATGGTATTGGTAATAAAATTTCTGAATATGTAGCCTGCAAAAGTTGCCCAAATATAATGAGTCATTTTGATTCAATTGAAATTGATATTTACCCTTGTGACGATGAGGATATTGATGAACAAATTCAAATATACGTTGATAATACTTTAGTGAATGAATTTCCAGATGATAACATGAATTTAATATTAAATGAAAAAGACATGAGACATTATCAAGATTATGGACAAGGATTGAAACATGTTGTAACAATTCATATTCTACTGTTGCATTTTGCACGTTAGAAATGAATATTAATGATGCTGACTGTATGGATGATAACTTTAATCATGAAACCTTTATAGATTGTTTAAGAAAATATTGTTGTATATCAAAGACAATGAACCGTTTATTGGAAATACAATTATTGACGAGAATAAGTTTGACAAAGTGTATGAAAGAATACAACAAGGAATTTATATTTGAACCCATAAATTTTCATATCAGATAATATGAAATTTTATGATATAAGGAAATACACTTAAAATTGAAAGGATAATACCTTATAATAGTATGGAGAGTAGAAAGTGTACAAAGTGTAAGAAAAACAAAAAAGGTGACGAGTTCAATGGAATGAATAGAATGTGTATTGAATGCTTGGAGAAACAAAAGGAGAGTAACAAAGTATATAATCAAAAGGAAGTATTCTGCGACATTTGCCAACGGAATGTGAAACAATGCAGATTGTCCAAACATCTTAAAACCGACAGACATTCCAACAAGGAAAAACTCAAAAAGGAAGAAGAGAAAAAACAAACATATATGGAGGAATACTTAAAAGATGATGAAACCAGAATTGCAAAATTGAAACAAATCTGGAAAACCATTACACCAAAAAACTTTAAAAGACTTTAACCCCATAATTTGTCATATACGAACATAGGAATGTTAGACGTGGATGATTTATATTTATGATATTATTTAATAATAATATATTATGATAAAATATGATGATGACATTTTATGATATGAATTTATGTGATGATGGATGATGATGAAATGATGTGGGATGATGATGTATGAATTTATGTGGTTTTATTTTGTGTTGATACTGTGATGAAATGATATGAACTGTTGTGAAAATGAACTGTGGCAAATGACGAAATGATGGAGGTGGATGATATGACCTTAGGTGTGTTTGTGTCTAGCTATATATGTATATAATTTCTTTAATAACATACATATATGAAAACATTGGAACTATAACCAAATGTCTCATTCCTTTCGCCATGATGATCCGCAGAGACCCACAGAGCGAACCCCTTTAACACAAATGACTAATGACTTCTTTCTCACAACCCTTTAACACAGATGTTTGCCTGTTTGCCTAAGATTCCATATATATTCCCCAGTGCCTGGATGAATAAAGGAAGGAGCCCTAAATTACCATAAAACCTCACTTGAGATACTACCCAGACCTAAGAAAAATTAGGTCTGGGTAATATTGCTTACACTCCAATGGCTCTCCAGCCACTCAGCCACTCAGTCACTCAGAGTGGCTGAGTGGCTGCGTCAGCCCCTCTGCCAGAATGGCTGAGTGGCTGCGGCAGAGTGGCTGGAGCAGCCACTCAGCCAATCTGCCACTCTGCCAGAGTGGCTAGACCAGCCACTCAGCCACTCAGCCAGAGAGGCTGGACCAGCCACTCAGCCACTCAGTCACTCAGAGTGGCTGAGTGGGTGAGTGGCTGCGTCAGCCGCTCTGCCAGAGTGGCTGAGTGGCTGAGTGGCTGCTTCGATTTCGCGAGCCGTGTTGCACATCCACTCTATTGTTCATGGATGGATGCTTTTGCAATTTACATGCATATTCTGCATATTTGCAGTGCATGGAAGACACAGGACGGTCGAAAATTCGTCAAACATTTTTAAAATTTTAAGGGTTTCAGGACTAAATAAATAGGTTTAGAATGCGCGTCGGGGATTTTCCCACGATATTCCCCACGATAATTAAATGTTAATTTAAACAGGATGGTAACGTTCAAACACGGCATTATACACACATTTATATGCGCTGTATATTTTACGTATATATGTGCATGTACACACATATTAGATGTGAGTAAACGAGGTGTTCTTGGATCGGCGGATGGCGATATTGCATTTTTTCCTCCGTATTATGACATTTTTTTTTGGTCATGGGTAGATCCATTAGTTTTCATTGGTTTTTCACTATTTTGAAGATGTTTTTCATTCTTGTTCATTGTTTTTTAATATATATATATGTTTCATTGATTTTTCATTATTTTGAAGATGTTTTTCATTATTTTGAAGATGTTTTTCACTGATTTTTCATTATTTGGAAAATGGTTTTCATTATTTTTCCTTGGGTTTTATTTTTTTTTTTAATGATTATTTTTCAGTGATTTTTCATTATTTTGAAAATGTTTTTTATTATTTTTCGTTATGTGTTCGGTAGTTTTTTTTTGCAATTTACATGCATGTTTTCCATATTTGCAGTACATGGAAGACACGGGACGGTCGAAAATTCGTTAAACAACTTGGAGTTTTAGGGGTTTCATGACTAAATAAACAGGTTTATATTAGGGGTTTCAGGGTTAAATAAATAGGCTTAGAATGCGTCCCGGATTTCTCACGCGGTACGCGTTTTTTTTCTTGAAATCCATGCCTTTCCACCAAAGTCGCATTCTAACTTTCAGTCCGGCGGTGTATTTTCAAACAAAAGAAACACCAACAAGTGATCAACATCCAAATCATGATGTACTACATGGAGAAGATTTAAGGGAGGATAGGAACAAAGAAGAATATATCAACCAATTGCAACTCGCTATTGAGTGATTCACTAAATCCATGCAACAATGCAACCGAGGACTATTTTTACATTCCTCAATCCTGCCAGTGGACATCAAGCAGCGAACAGATTTAAGACATTTTTCATGTCTGGTTGCAGATGTTCAGACCCATATGGCATCGGATCTTAGCTGAGGTTGATGACAACGTGCGTTTCTGGCCCGCACAAAGGCAATGGGAGGCCAGTGGCACAGTGGCATTCTTCGTGGATCTATGCTTAGTTTCTGTTTGGGGTTCTGGAAAATGGTGTTTAAAGGGGTTGCAGTTGTCGGTTTCCAGTGCCAAACATGCGGCAGTTTTGGTAGGATTAAAAAAATGGTCAGTTTTTGTGAAGACCAAAGTGTGTTTTGTTTTTTTCGCATCGGCCAAGGTCACACCGACATATTCACCGGACATCTTCCGCACCTCTCCACAGGTCTTCCTGTGGACGGTGCGCTCCGAGTTTTCGGCTGCGGCGATGATAAAACCGCCCGGATATGGAAGGCCCGGCAGACCTTGAGCAATGGCCCTGGAAATCACAGCAGACTTTCGATGTTTCTGGTGTTGACTTTTTGAGAAATATGGGATGTTTACTTAGAATGGGAGTGTGTGAAACCCTGATTGCGGCGAGGCATCGCGAATGGACCCATTGTGTTGGGAGGACGTCGCCATTCTCAATGGCCACTGCGATTCGGTAGCACAGTCAGAACCTGGGTACGTACTCTGTATTGCAATCCAACATGGGGAGTCGGAAAGTTCCCAATTTCCAAAATGATGTGAGAAACTCAATGAGAAACCACTGTTTTCTGGTATGTTTTCTTATGTTCCTACACAAAATGTTGGGAAAATGACGATCCAAGTAGTTTCCCGCAACGGCTCCAAGGTGCGAGCAGGTTTACATGGCAATGGGGGTTGACATGTTGGTGACCTTAGAAAATGCTGGTTACACCTCAACATTTGAGAATTGTCTCTTGCTGCATCTCCATATCCTTTCCTGACATGTCCTTACCCGAAGCAGGTTCGAACACAGAACCGTGTGGTCATTGCCACCGGACTGGCCGACTCCACCATCGTCTTGTGGCAATCCCATGTGGCTCCGCATGACCGACGATCCTTTGAGGTACGTTGTTGCGTTGGGGTGAGGGGAAGGATCTTGAAAAACAGGAGGTTTAACCTGCAAAAAGTGGAATTTCAATGAGATTCATAAATGCAAAGCCATTAAACGTGTGGATACGACATACCAGCGGCGTAATTGACAGATAACACAGCTGCAGGTCTTTGCGACACTTTCTGGACACTCTGGAGCTATAAGGCCATCGAGTGTCGGATCGTGGGAAAGGAAGATTCTGAGAATCAGATCGAATCGTGGAAAATTCTGATAGATTCTGCGAAGTGCCAGGTCTCTGGACTGGGTTTGGGATGGCACACAGCTTGCGAGCGGCAGTGGGGGCCATAGCTCATGTGGGTCAGCTGATTCTGCAATTGATACCAGTGATATCAGTTTCCCAAGTCAGTTTGTTTGATGGGATGGAGTATGTTTTAAAGATATCCATTCCTACTTGGAAAGATTATCCCAGGTGACTTTCGTATTTGAACATAGATACGGGAACGAATTGGAAATAATCTACATTAATATTTGGATCTAGATTTACTTCTTGATCACTGACCATTTCCCGGTACCAGACGACATGACCATTTCCCGTTTCGGTTGTTGATCCTCAGGTACGGGCGCCACCACACGGATCTGGCACTGTGATGGATGGCAGGAAGTTGCGAAGCTCAGGTCTGACGCTCAGAGGTGGCAGATTCAGCGATGGACACAGCTGAAATCCCATGGAGTTCAATTCCTCAGAAAGATGGTGGATATCACATGATATCACTGAATATCACCATGAATCCATAGGGTTCATAGGTTATTTTTTGGGTAGAGGTTCAAAGTTTCATGGATTTTCCCCGGTCCGTCCCGAAGGCCCCAGTGTTTTTTTTTAATTGGATTCCACGTTGCACACGTTGCCAGGGTGGGCACCTGTGCTGGGGTCAAAGCGGTGCCCGGAGCTCTGCGGGGGAGGCACTGGGGTGTCATGTCACCTCAGTGGCAGTGGATTTCTGGTTTTGGCGACGTCAAACAACACAGTTTTAGTATGTTCCAACTCAACACATTCTTTCCATAGACTTTCCATGAGGTGTGAAAAGGTGGTGTCGGAACTATTGTCACCCGTTGTTTTGGCTAAGGCTGATGCAATTCTCTGAGCCAGCAGCCCAGCTTTGTCAAAACAGCGTGTTGGTAACCAAAGTTGACAGCTTGACAATTCAGGGGAACTCTTTCAGGAAATCCTGGTTTCTTACTCAGACCATATCACAACTAGGGCTTTTCTGCCAACGTTTTCCTGCGTATCAATCCTAAGATGAAGGGGTCCTCTCCGCTTTGCTTTAGGTGTGGACCAGAGGCGATCTTCACCAATGGAACCTTGCGGCCGAATTGACAGGTGGGTAGGTCTACAACTCCAACTTCTCAGATGAATCTTTGACCTTTGCAAAACTGTTTGAAGATGTTTGCTCAGTAATTTTGGTTTCCAATCAGCAGTTTGGGTTGAGCATCCAAAATATTCAGATCCAAATTTGACTTGACCCAGCCAAAGCTGGGCCATCCATTTTTCATCAGATTTCTCTTTCCAATGGCCTTTAATTAGAAGTATATAGTTTTGTTGGGGACCTTTTTGAAGTGATAGTTTCTGAAAATATGCAACCCCAAAGCATCAGTCACTTTCCAACAGGGGGAAACCATCGGTTTTTGGGTCGCCCGGCAGGTCATCAATCAGCGATCCGCGCCCTGTGCTGGTCACCGGATGGCGGCAAAGTTCTCACCGGCAGTGCTGACAGGAGGGCCTCGAGATGTCCCAAACACAGCAACATTGGATAGTGGCGGAACGGATAGATAGTATAGATGCATAGACTAGATCGATGTACACATACTTACACATAGACATACATGGGATATCATGGGATTAGATCAAAACAATGTGATTTAATTTTGAGGGTTACACGGTAGAACTCAAACCATGTACCCAAAGGTGTGCCCAAAACGAGAGGACGTCCAACGACACAGGATGCCAACGTCTTGAAAGCTGCCAAGTGCCATTGAAAGCCATGTTGAATGGACATCCCAGACTATTTCCTCATGCTGAATAGATACCACAGAATCAATGATTTGCTGAACTCCAAACGAAGAGACTGATAATTTTACTCAATATCAGTGCAAATGTTCTTTGCTTTCCGTGTGACATTTCGTGTTTTGTGCATTTGGCCTGTTTCTGAAGGACGGCGCGAATTTGGCGAGTTGATGGAAGGTGAAGAGCCTGATTTTGTGTGTGAAACAGACACACAGCTTCTCTTGTAGGGCCTTAATTCTGGGCCAAACAAAGATGTTTCACGGATGAAGGCTGTTGTAGCGGCTGAAAACACAGAGCACACTGCAGGATTCTCTTCCCATTCTGACTGTGTAGTACTTGCGCCATCTTGCGCCTTTGCTTCATGACAGAACCACAGGCTACCTAGGATTCGAATCCCAATTTTCAATACCAGACAAGCGTCGATAACTGGCATAGTCTTGCAACATACTGGCAGCTACTGTGACAATTTGAAAGAATTGGATCTCAGGGCATCCAATGTCGCAAGTGATATAGGTCAGCGACAGCAAGCTGTGCTGCGATATGGGCATGATATGATGCAATTGGGGATATCGTAGTCATGCTGGGATACTGCCCAAGGAAGGTGGCCAGCGGTGCAGACTCCACGTTGTTCAACCTTGAGGCTTCATCTGAATCCATTCGCAAACAGGTATGCTCCCTTGGGCCCAACAGGTTGGACACCACATTTTGACCAATGCCTATATGATATGAAACCAGTCACATGGGTTGTCATGTCTATTCACCTCACCTGGAGATCGGCTCAAGTGCCGGACCCTGGCGTTTGAATGCCAGCTTTAATCCTTTGATTTGGATTGTCAGGCGCATTCGAAATGTCGTCCACACACACATGGGTTTGAAAATAGGGTATATTCCCAATTATAGCCATTTAATAGGGATAATGATCATTAACCATTGGGTTTAGGGGTACTCTATTTTCAGACACACCCATATAACTGTAGAGGTCGAACAAATTGAACCATCTGCAAGTGTTTTTCATTCGTGCAACAACGTGCAAATCGCAGGTGACACCGTTTGTCAAGAATATGCCAAGGCCAGGAACGTTCCAGGTTCAAGATGACCTCAGAATAACTTTCCCACTTGATCCACTGATCCACCACTTTTCTTCACCCATAGCCATGTCAGAGCCTCACTTGGACGAAGACTTGGCGTGGGCCCCTGATTGGCCGTGCCCCACCTGTACCTTGCTGAACGCTCCGGAAGCCGTGAAATGCTTGGCCTGTGACAGTCTACGCCCTGGGAGCTCCAGCAACTCTGGGGTGGTGGTGGTGCTGCCTCGGGAAGCACCGAAACGACCTGCGGATGGCTGGGCCTGTCCCGCCTGCACCTTGTTGAACCCCGAAGCCGCCGACAACTGCGCGGCCTGTGGCGGGGAACGCTGGGTGAAGCGCCAGATGACGGCGGCGGCGTTGCGCGCCAGGACCAAACCGGCCGCCGTGGAAAGCGACACAGGCGCCACAGGCACCACCGCCCGTTGGGATCATGGGATCTGGGGCGGCCTGGGACCTGACCGCGAATTTCTGCCACTGCCACCGGCGCCGGAAGGAAGGGTGATTTATCGGTCGGCGAAAGATGATGAACTGGATATGTTCACTGAACTGGAAGCAGCAACAAGTGAGAAACTTCCTGAAGATCCAACAGTTGAACCTGCAGCTGACACAGCATCAGCTGAAGTTGCAGCAAATCCAGATGGAGTTCCAATTGAAAAAATTGAATCTCCCAAGAAAGTTGCAGATGTTGCTCCATCTGCCATCCGCCCCGCCTGGCGCGTGGAGGGCACCCCGTTGTTCGCCGACGCGGCCCTGGGCGACGTGGCGTTGGACGATGCCGTGGAGCGCTTGGCATCCGCAGGGGTCGAGCCTGCGGAGTGTCTGCTGGCGTTGGAAGCGGCCGGAGGGGACGAGGACTTGGCCCGGACCTTCCTGTGGCAGATGAAAAGGAGAGCTGCTACTCATTGGCTGCTTGGGAATTTTTTGGGAGAGAGTTGGGCGGCTGGTGCTTCCATGGTTGTTGGGAGGATGGATATTTCTTGGTAGTTTGTACAGAGGGGGAACCGGTGATTCCTTTCGGGATCACCAAGTATGAGTCGGGTTGAATAACGTCTTCTTGCTGGCAATTGGTAGCGAATGAGAGAATCCTGTCAGCAACATGCAATCCAGAAGGAAGCACGAAGAGTGCCTAGCGCACAGCTCTGGTATTACCCCTCCGTTCTACTGTTGATTTTAACCAAGAGGTTGCCACATCACTTAATTTGATAAATCTCAACTCTTGCGTCACATGAGGAAGGATAATGCCAATGGCTTTTCTCGTTCATTTGAGTGGATCACATCCAGCTGAACTGACAGAACATGTTCGCTCCAACTTGGACGTACGCCCACCACTTATCTTCACGAGGGATCAGATCCGCACCCCTTCCGAACAATATTGAATGGGATATGGATATATTATGATATATTTACATTTACATACAGGATTGCTTGCATAGATTTTTTGGAAAGACACATTCCTTCCACAGTTCCAGGGCGGGCAAACGTCAGAGTGGCAGCAAACATATTTTTACTACATAGTTCTCACAGAAACCGTGTCAAAATTCTGCTGCCTGCTGCCAATTGTGATAGCAGTAGGAAGTTCTGTGTAGTTCGTTATTGCATGATGCAGCCAATGAGGCTCAGTATTGTGAGGTGGAAAGAAACCAAGCTTGCCAATATCCAACACCCTTTTTTGCATCAAGTTGAACACCTAGCCAAAGAACCTTTCTGAGGTGTTTGATGTTGGACTTAGGCTTCATGATGTTTGACGAGCACTGCTCGGTGTCGGCAAATCAGACATGAGCTGACTTGTTTGCAAAACACATTCCCATATCTTGTCACGGCAATCATTTGCAAACATGGACGCAGTCGTGCCAGCCACAAGCGAGAAATGCGTTGCAAAGAAGCAGTTTCTCGGCTTATGGAGAAGCCGTGACAACATTGAAGTTGTTCGGAGTTGAGTTGACTACACTGAAGCAACGAAAAGACATTTGGCTAAGGGCGTTTTTTGTGATATTTGCCCAAAACGTTCGAGGATTTGAAACTAGCCGCCCGAGCACCGATACTCCTTTTTCTCAACCATTCAGATCTGATGGCATGAGGAATGTGATATTCTGTGACTACAGTTGGAATCAGGAGTGCAATAAGACATCTGAAACATCGGATGTCTCGCCAGATGTTTTCTCCCTATTCCTTTTGTGTCTTTCGCACATATGTATCTCTCTATGCGGGCTGTAGAATGACGTAGCAACTGGCCTACTTAACAAGAAGGCCGCTCCTCTTGTTGCAAGTCTTGCCCTGAAACTATGTCCGGATGACTGCCATGACCAGCCCGTGGTCAAACGCAAGTGCCTGCGTGATCGCATAAAATATGTAGTTGACAGCTTGCATTTGCACACTTGCCTGTACACTGGCAAGCACTAAATCACGAAGAAACACTGCAGCTTGTCGAGCAATTCGATGGTCTCGGCATCCTTTCACCCAGATGATTCTCTGTTTTTTGAATATTGGAACTTACATACCGCTATGCTTCTTGGTGATTGACCCACGAAGCAACAACTCCCGCCAGTCTATCAAGTATTATCAAGTTGTGTATTTTGATTATTATGTGTATTGATATGTAAGTGTTTTTTCCTAAGCATGCTTCGGAGCCCCATGATAGGCCTGAGGTATAAACAGTCAGGCAGTGTGTCCCGAGGTCAGGCAGTGTTGTTGCCCCTTTGCTGAGGTGGATGGTCGTGGTGATTGTTGGCGAAGACGAGTGCATCCCGAATGCAGTCGCAGATGGTGAGCTGATTGCCAGTGTTGTAACGCATGTAGGCGCAGTGTGGGGTGGCTGCGGGTAAGAATTACAGAAGGGATACAAATTGAATGTGGCAACTGTTCATGCAAGTCATCCAATGTTCAGACAGTTTTGCAAAGTTTTGATCATCATTTTGCCTGGTCCTGGAGGCCTGTGTCCGGACGTAGTCAAGATTACCCTGAACCTTGACCACCAGACCGACACTCCTTTGCAGCAACTCAAGAAGGCTGTCGAGGAAAAGGTGGCAAAGGCAGAGGATAATCATGAACACCTTCCGCTGTCGCTTGACGTCATCGTGTATTTCAGTGGACATTCTTACCGTAGGCATAAAAGCTTTTCCACACGAGTCATCACAGGACAGCGCCAAAGTTTCCATCTGGAAAGTTCTGTCCAAAAGGTCATTCAGGATGCCAAGAACAAGAATAGCCAGCTTGGCCCATGCAATGTAGTTTACTTTGTGGACGGCTGCATGGAATTTGAAGACGGTGAGCTTTCAGATTCTGAAAGTGTGATGTCAAATCAGGCAGATGAGCCCATGCAATACTTTGCATATAGTGTCAGCATGGGCAAACCACAAGCTGACAATGGGCTGTTTGCAACAGTGCTGGCATATTGTCTGACATGCAGAGTTGAGAACCTGTCATCCCTTTTCCGGAACTTGAAAGACCTGGTATCGCAGCTGTCCTTCTGGAGGCAGATTCCATATACTTTAAACGTTGAGAACGACATCGAACTTTTTCCGCGTGCTGGAGGTGTTGAGATCCAGAGGCCATTGACAGAGGCTCAGCGAAATAGCAGACTTTTCGAATCAACCTTTTTCTTGAGCAGATATTTGGCAAGACTTACCAGTGACAAGCTGTTGGAGTGGAGGCGCAATTCGAGAAATGAACCCTGCAAAAGCAATCCAGACCGGCTCCAAGAACACATCCTCAGCACATTCGAGACGCTCAGCAAGATAGCCAATGTGTTTGAGGAGAGGAAACACCTTTTCAAAGAGAACAGCTGGCTTGAGCTAGAACTGCTTGTGAAATGTCCATGTGATGACCTGGAATGGTTTTTGAAGGAATTGAAAAAAGTTGAACAGCTCCCAAGTCTCGCAGAGAGTGTGCGGGGAGACACTGTTCCAGAACCAAAGAATGTGCCCCAGGAAATTCGAGACTGCTTAGTCGTTGCTTTAAGGGAAAACATAAAGGATGACTACGATCAACGGCCAGCGGAGGCCTGTGAGGAGGATTCGTGTGATACGGCGAAGCCACCTAGCACGCTTGTCACTGATGCGCGAGACTTGGTGTATGAGTTGATGCATTGGTTCCAGCATTGGGAAGGAACTTCAGTGGAAACAAAGGACGGGAAGAAAAAATGGACTTATGCACTCGTGGCCGAGCAAGCAGAAGTCGCACCTCTTCCAGAGTCTGAGCTGCGGGCGATAGCTGAATTCATTAATGAGCAGTCCAACGTCTTCAAAGTTCCATGCAAAGTCTTTCTAGCACCCGGCAGTTTGTGGATCATCATCAGATCTGAAGGGCGGTTGCCGATGTCAGAGTTTTTGAAAGGCTTGGGGGAGTCGATTCAGCAACGGCAGCTTGGCAGAGAATTTTGCAAGGCAGTGCTAAAACTGATGCATGTCCCTCTTCATGTCGTTCCGCGAAGGTTGCTCCATCTTGTTTACCAAGTGGAGCATCTGCTGGAGTCTTCCGGATGCTTGTGGCTGAGGGCTCTTGATGTGCAAAAGCTTGCCGCCAATCACATTAATCAGAGCAATGGCGATGTACAGCTGAACCCGTTGCAAGTCATTGTGTTTGAGGATAGCGTTGAAGCAGAAAGGCTCTCCTGGCACCTAGCCTCCATCCAAGCAGCATGTTTTTTTCATCGCGCTAGGGTTTATCTTCCAGCTTTTTTGGGTCAGCATAGCTCACCCTTGTGATTTCATGTTGGTCTGAGGCTCAATGGAAATGGAAAGCTTCGCTTTGTGATCGAAACGAATTGGCGCGACTTGACATTTCAAGACAGGGTGCTGAAGAGGCTGAATGAGTTGGCTTCCAAGAGCACAGGTATGTCTTCAAGCCCGACTTGGGGAGAACATTCTGCGTTTCATGCAGTCGCCTTTCTGCTCCACAGAAGGGTAATGCACTGGCGCTTGGACACGCGTCTTGTGGATTGTGCTCACCCTGCGGTCCTCTTGCAAGGCGTGCTGCAGGAGGTGCTGGGTGAGGGACCGGCATGAAGACTACCCACAATTATTTTTTACCAAAGAAAGTGTGTTTTCAGGTCCTGACTGCTGGATTCTGCACCCGCCTTCTGACAGGCTTGTCTCCAGTTGTCTGCTTTCATGTCCCTTCTTGCAGAGCGTAGATGTGGGATCTGCAGATGTGAAATGTATAGATCCAAGGTGTGGAGATGTCCAGGTGTGAGACGTGCAGTGAGATGTGTAGATATTTATGTAGATGTGAAGTGCGTAGGAGTTTCCTTGTGTTTCTCTCCTTTTTTTGCCAAAAATACCTTTGTTTTTGTAGGCGCTCTAGGGAAAAATTGAAGCCACGATCCCCAGAAGAATCTTTTGAAACCTGCGTTGGTTTTGAAATCACAAAACGCAATATCATTTGTTCAGAATAAGCATACCCCCCAAATTTTGAACCTAACACCTGTTTGGAGTCTACTGTTTGGTTTTCTCTCTTCAAATGCCTTCACAGATTTCTGCTCATTCAGGATACTCATGTCAGCATTGAACTTCAAAAACGAATTATCTGGGCGTTGCAAGGGAGCTGATTCGAAAGCTTTGTGGTTTCGTGCCTCTTTCAGGACTTGAAAGGACCCTCTTTTTACATTAAACATGAAACGGTGAACATGAATAATCTCCTCCGTTGAAGGTGCTGAAGGAGACGGAAGTGGGAAAGATGCTGAGGGCGAAGGCCTTGGAAGCCTGGTGCACCTTGCAGGAACTTGCACGACTTGCGCAACAGTCCGGTGAAAGCATAGTGTTCACAGAGGGACAGCTTAGTGAATTACTTGATCCAATTGGTCCAATTGATCCACACCAAGCTCCAATCTTCCGTGAAGTTCACAAACGACAAAGTGCATCTTCGACAGGCACCTTTGACCTGAAAGGTTCTTCCAGCCATGTTGGCATGAGACAAAGCGAACACTTGACAGAAGTGCCAAACTCTTCAAGCAATGTCCGCGAGAGAGTGCCTGAAACTGGGTTTGAGGACAGCGACACGGAGGATGTTTGCTCATTTTGCACAGTGAGCCAAGAACTCACAGAAATAGAACTTGGTTTCCAGCAGTTGCTTGATAGCAATTCAGACCCTGTTGAAGAAATCATGTTGAAGTTTGAGCTCGGCCGCGTCAAGCAGAAGATGAACAAATTACAAGAAGCTGAGACCATCTTTCTTGAAGCGCTTGCGACAGCAGAAGCCCGAGGTTGCGAGGGGGGGTGCGCAGCAATCCAGCACGAACTTGGCGTGCTGAACCGAAGACGTGAGCGGCTGTCTGAGGCTGCGACGTGGCTTCGGAAGTCTGTGAAGGCAAAGCTTGTGGCCAATGCTGAGATGCATCAGGTTGTTGCGACAATTGTGGAACTGGGGAGAGTGCTCCATGAGACCTATGATGCACACAATACAGCTCATGCAGCACTAAACTTCACTAGGGAAGTCCTGGCACAGCAAAATTGGGACGATCAGCTGGATGCTGAAGGGCGAGGCCTGCAGTGTTTTGCAAAAGCATTCTATGAACTTGGCATATGGAAGAAAGGGCTTGGTGACCTCGGTTCAGCAGAAATATATTTTATGGCATCACTGGCCTTGGAATATTCATTTGATGAAGGTCAGAATGATGTTTCTTTTGCTTCGACTTTGCATGAACTGGGCTCAGTCTGGAAGAGCGAGGGAAAGAATCCAGCAGCTGAGATTTGTCTCAGGGAGGCTTTGTACCGAAAGCGCAAGGCAAACTGCCAAGATGTCAAACTCACCGAAGAAGAGCTGGAATCTCTAAACTCTATTTCCGATGATTGGGAGATATTGAGTCCGGCAGTGAGTCCATCCCACAAACCTGATGGCAAACTTTGAGAGAACCGACGCCGACACCAACTGTGTCAGAAAAAATGCTGCTGACATATTTTCAATTGGGTTGGGAGGCGATCAGACGCAAAGCTATTGTTGATGCACCTGCACCACACATTCTATGCGAAAGGAAAAAGGATCTGCACTAATTCGGTCAGACCTGCAGTCAATATTCTTGCACCACAGCATGCCAGTTCCTGTCTGGAAATTTCTAAGTTGAAAATCGCAGATCATGGGAAACGGTTTGATATGATTGCAACAAATAGGGCAGCGAAAAGGGCGTGGGTCCACCACTTGGCACACAAATGCAACTCCAGAATCCAAGCATCAGCCGATGACATGCTCAATTTTTGCTCAAACTCGCAGGAATTAGCTCCAGTGCCTGAGGCACTTACCTAGTGTTTGGCCTTTGCAGAGGGAGGAAACTGAATTCGTGGCGGCCCAAGTTTCAAAACACGACAAACAATTGAACCACCAACACATCCCTGATTCTGGTCAGAACTTTTGAAATCATTGCAGGGCGTCTAGCCAACGTTCACCACGTTGTGCTCGTTGCGGGGCCAAGGCTATGCGATAGCAATCTTTTCAAGGGTCACTTTTCAAAAGTTGATGCTTTCAAAGTTTGAATGATCAGATACTCGAAAATGACCAAACATGTTGCATATGTTCCTTCCTCGAAGGCCTCGTGCCCGGGTGAACTCTGCCAGAAGCAGCTTAGTCTGAACCAGAAGATCAGATTGTCTGTTCAAAGCATCTAACAACCTTTGAATGAGTCCCCTCGTTCTTTCTTTTCCTTCCAGCTGACGTAACTTCTATGTTGCCCGAGGAAGCTTTGATCCACCCATTCTGAATGCGATTGGGAGGTCCTGGCACGATGTTGTTTTGCGTTCGGACGGAGTTATAGTTGTAACGGCAGAAACATAATAGATCTCAGCCTTCAATCAAACAGGATGTGCAATTATTGTAAGTTTGCTACAGCAGATTTGTGAAGGTTTCTTTGTGATACCTGTGGATCGTAGACTATCCTCAACATTCATGCAGCTTGCCAACCTGAGGATGCTCATTTCAACCAGCTTCCCAGCATTCGCTCTGGAAGGCACCGAACATCTCGAAGTAGAAGCCACCTTTGGTAGGAATAGCATGGCCAATGCCACCCTTTGAAAGATTGCCGGCAGGATTCAGTTGCGACTGTCATGTCGTTGCTTCTCTTTGGGCCAAGTCAACAGCCCAAGCCATCTCACATGTGCACAAGCAATCCACGTTGATTTACATGAAGGAAAACCTGTGCGAAATTAATTTGAAGTGAACAGTCTTTATATTTCAAGTATCAGTTCAGGATGTCTGCAAGACCCCTAGTTTGCGGCATGCCCAATGCAGGGTGGCTTAGATTTTATTTCAATCAGTGATTTTCACTAGAAGCTGTATGAGGATCTGTATGGACTTTGGCCACTTCTTTCCAGCTGTTTGTTTTCTCTTCAGCTGGGTGAGGCCTTCGCTACGTCATGTGGGGCTGGCTCGCTTGGAGCAAAGCTGCATGTTTTCATTGCGGGGAAAAGTGTAGGCAAGGTGTCCTGGGACCAAGAGTAATTTCGATTTGATTGCCAGAAGAGGTTCCTATCCATCCGATCCTGAAATCCGACTTGCAGTACTTGATGATTCTTGGCCAGGCTACGTTAACTCCGTTGTCCAAGCTTTGCGGACTGTCAGGTCATTGCGTGGAGCCTTGGTATACACAGGCCCTGTATTGGTCACGCCATTATCCTCTTTGATCAGAAAGAATGACCCATCGCCAAGGTACGTAGGGCTGGAGCACCACGCGTGTCCTAGTCTGGGCACTCAGTGGTCAAAATGGTCCTGCTGGGATTCGTTTCTTGACTTGTTTAAGTCGTTAACACAGTGGATGTTCCTTGAAGCACAGTGGACCGTTCGCATCTTTTTCATTTTGCTCATTTTGTGGCCGCTTTGAAGTTGAACCGTTTTTGCCGCCGAAGGCCAATCCTGCAAACCCGTTTGCTTCAATTTAGGTTTGATAGCCTGAGTCTGGGCTAGATTAGTCATTGAAGCACCAAAAAGTATGTCCCCGCTCCTTTGTGATGGTCTTGGTGTTTGGGGATATTGTTCTTGGTGGTTTTGTTTCAATTTTCTCCCATGCTGTTGCGAACGGATTGCCCAAGCTTTGGAGGAAGTGTCACTCAGGATGCATGTGGGGACCTCCAAGTATTCAGGACCGGGCCGTTGGGCTAATGAGTGGTATTTTCGTAAACTTTGGATGGGCAGAACTTCAAGCACTTGGAGTGTGGTTTTAATTGTGTGACATTATGTGTCCTATGATGTCCCATGCAGTTTTTTTCAGAGTTCATATTGCAGTTTTGAACTTGGAATACTCCAGTTGGCTCAAATGTTGAATCAAGCCATCCAGTAATCTAGGCAAGGCATGCTTTGTGACAGCACTTCTTGAAATTTTCCAAACACCTCGTTGCGCAGCAGAAGGATTGAACTGAAATTGCTCATTTTTGGTCCCGCCCGAACTCCGAACAAAAAGGGTCCGGAATTTGGCAACGGATTTTGGTGTAGTCACGCAGTTGTGATGGTCTTGTGCGACAAACAAGGTGGTACTCATCATTGGCAAATTGCGCATTGTGGATTTGCATGCCGCTGGAGGAGACGAGGACTTGACCTGGACCTTCCTGTGGATGAAAAGGAGAGCTGCTGCTCAATAGCTGCTGGGAATCTTGAGGGAGAGAGGTGGGGGGGCTGGTGGTTGCATGGTTGTTGGGGGAAAATATTTGAAGATATGAGAGGCTGCACAAAAAGAATGATGGATTGGTAGGTTGTGGTAGGTTGTGAGAGGGAAGTTTGGTGGAAAGTTTGCATTTGGGAGAGGCCTTGCAGGTGGTTGCGGGAAAAGTGGTCAGATTACCAAAGTTTAACAGGGTCTGGGTGAGCCCACCAACAAAGCAAGAATCCGTCAATTGCACTCTAGGTGAAAAAAGTCTGGTCCCCAATTTGAGGTTGAAGTTGGAAGTCCTTTCTCTGCAGGTCTTTGTTGGGGGCCAGTCAAAAGCTTGCAAGGCCTTTAGTGCCGACTACGGGTGCTCCAGATCAATTTGATCAACATGAACTCTTGCCATGAGGAATGAGAACCCCACTGGCTTTCTCTTTCATTTGAGTGGATCACATCCAGTTGAAGTGGCAGAACATATTTTCATCACATATATAGTTCTCAGAAAAACCAGGTCAGAATACCTGCTGCCAAAGTGTGATAGCAATCCTGTGAAGTCCGTTATTGCATGATGCAGCCAATGAGGCTAGTACAGCGAGGTGGAAAGAAACCAAGCCTGCCAACATCCAACACTTTTTTTGCGTCAAGCTGCATCTTTAGTCAAAGAACCTTTCTTACCTGTTTGATGCTGGACTTAAGTTTCATGATGTTTGACTAGTACTACTCAGAGTCATGAGCTGACTTGTTTGAATACCAATTCCCATACCTTGTCACCGCAAACATGGCAGCTGTCGTGCCAGCAAGAAGCGGCACATTCCTGACAGCTGTGCGTGATGCCGCCGGTGCCCTCTGGTCATGCGCTCGCCAGGAGAAATGCGTTGCAAGCAAGCAGCTTCCTGGCTTATAGAGAAGCCATGACAATATTGAAGTTGTTCAGAGCAGAGTTGACTACACTGAAACAAGATGAAGCCCACGAACCCGAATGCTCACACGTATGTTAATGGTACAGATGTCAATACACATGGTTATGCAGTCACGCACAATACCTTTCTGCAATAGTTTATTTGAACAGTCTTGTACATGTTCCCTTGTTACCAGTCCGCAGTGTGGAATGTAAAGTGTAGAGTGGGGAGTGTAGAGTGTGTAAAGTGTAGAATGCGGAGTGTAAAGCGTGGAGTGTGGGGTATGGAGTGTAAAGTGTAGAGTGTGGAGAGTAGAGTGTGGAGTGTAGAGTGTGGAGTGAGGAGTGTAAAGTGCAAAGTGTGGAGTGTGGAGTGTAAAGTGAGGAGTGTAAAGTGTGGAGTGAGGAGTGTGGAGTGTAAAGTGAGGAGTGTAAAGTGTGGAGTGCGGAGTGTGGAGTTTGTAAATTGTAGAGTGTGGAGTGTAGAGTGTAGCGTGTGGAGTGTGGCGTGGAAAGTGTAGAGTGTGGTGTGTAGAGTGTGGAGTGTGGAGTGTAAAGTGTAGAGTGTGGTGTGTAGAGTGTGGAGTGTGGAGTGTAAAGTGTGGAGTGTAGAGTGTGGAGTGTGGAGTGTAAAGTGTAGAGTGTGGAGTGTAAAGTGTGGAGTGAGGAGTGCAAAGTGGAAAGCCTGGAGTGTAAAGTGTAAAGTGTGGAGTGTAGAGTGTTTAGTGTAGAGTGTAAAGTGTAGAGTGTGGAGTGTGGAGTGTAAAGTGTGGAGTGTAAAGTCTACAGTGTGGAGTGTGGAGTGTAAAGTGTGGAGTGTGAGGAGTGTAAAGTGTGGAGTGTGGAGTGTAAAGTGTGGAGTGTGAAGTGTGGAGTGGAAAGTGTGGAGTGTAAAGTGTGGAGTGTGGAGTGAGGAGTGTAAAGTGTGGAGTGTGGAGTGTAAAGTGTGGAGTGTAAAGTGTGGAGTGAGGAGTGTAAAGTGGAAATCGTGGAGTGTAAAGTGTAAAGTGTGGAGTGTAGAGTGTTAGTGTAGAGTGTAAAGTGTAGAGTGTGGAGTGTGGAGTGTTAAAGTGTGGAGTGTAAAGTGTGGAGTGAGGAGTGTAAAGTGTGGAGTGTGGAGTGTAAAGTGTGGAGTGTGAAGTGTTGAGTGGAAAGTGTGGAGTGTAAAGTGTGGAGTGAGGAGTGAGGAGTGTAAAGTGTGGAGTGAGGAGTGTAAAGTGTGGAGTGTGGAGTGTAAAGTGTGGAGTGTGGAGTGTAAAGTGTGGAGTGTGGAGCGTAAAGGTGTGTGGGGTCTGGAGTGGAAAGTGTAGAGTGTGGTGTGTAGAGTGTGGAGTGTGGAGTGTAAAGTGAGGAATGTAAAGTGTGGAGTGTGGAGTGAGGAGTGTAAAGTATAAAGTGTGGAGTGTGGCGTGTAAAGTGTGGAGTGTAGAGTGCGGAGTGTGGAGTGGAAAGTGTAGAGTGTGGAGTGTAAAGTGTGTGGAGTGTAGAGTGTGGAGTGAGGAGTGTAAAGTGTAAAGTGTGGAGTGTGGAGTGTAAAGTGTAGAGTGTGGAGTGTGAAATGTGGAGTGGAAAGTGTAAAGTGTGGTGTGTAGAGTGTGGAGTGTGGAGTGTGAAATGTAAAGCGTGGAGTGTAGTGTAAAGTGTAGAGTGGAGTGTGGAGTGTAGAGTGTAAAGTGTAGAGTGTAAAGTGTAGAGTGTGGAGTGTAGAGTGTAAAGCGACGAGTGTAAAGTGTGGAGTGAGGAGTGTAAAGTGTGGAGTGTGGTGTGTAAAGTGTGGAGTGTGGAGTGGAAAGTGTGGAGTGTGAAGTGTGGAGTGTAAAGTAAGGAGTGTGTAGTGTAAAGTGTGGAGTGTGGAGTGTAAAGTTTAGAGTGTGGAGTGTAAAGTGTAGAGTGAGGAGCGAGGAGTGGAAAGTGTAGAGTGTAGTGTAAAGTGTGGAGTGTGGAGTGTAAAGTCTCAGGTGAGGAGTGAGGAGTGTAAAGTGCAAAGTGTAAAGTGTGGAGTGTAAAGTGTAGAGTGTGGAGTCTAAAGTGTAAATTGTGGAGTGTGGAGTGTAAAGTGTAGAGTGTGGAGTGCGGAGCTTCCCCCATAGACACGGCGAAGCCACAGGAAAACCAGAGACTCGAGACGAGACACGTGGGAGCACCAAAACGATCATTTCGTACGAGACTTCCGGCGATTTTCACAGTTGGCAACATAACAAAAGGACAGGTTTTGCAGCTTCCCCCATAGACACGGCGAAGCCACGGGAAAACCAGAGACTCGAGACGAGACACGTGGGAGCACCAAAACGAGCATTTCGTACGAGACTTCCTCCAATTTTGACACTTTGCAGCTTCAAAATCGACGTTTTCCTACGAGTTTTCCTTAGAACCTGAAAATTTGCAACCTCAAAATCAATGTTTCGTGCGAGACTTCCGTCAATTTTCAGCACATGTCAGAAAATGCCACGCCTGCCACGGAATTTGCACCTTGTCGCCACTTGACGCAGCCCTGCCAATGCGATTTACAAAAAACACGCAACAGGACACGTCTAAAGTGCTGCGCCTGCCACGAAAAATGACGATGGACACGTCCAAAGTGCTGCGCCTGCCACGAAAACTGCAACACATCTTCTAAAAGCGTCACAAAAGTATTGCGCCTGCCACGCAAAACGATTTTCAACACGTTGCAAAACACGTCTGAATGTCACAAAGTGCCACGCCTGCCACGCGAAACGAAGCAACGACACGTCTGAAACCTCCAAAAATGACCACCTCTGCAAAACTTCCCATAGGCACGGCCATACGGAGTTCGTACGAACGGTTGCGAACGGTTGCGGACGGTTGCGAACGGTTGCGAACGGTTGCGGACGCGGACGCAACGTCGAGCGAACACACTCTCAACCCCCAGACCCCCAGAGTGAAACGGGAACCCTTGCTACGCATTCGGGAAAAACGAAAAGACATGCGGCTAAAGGCAGAATTTGAGGTTCAAACGTATTTGTGACATTCGCAAAAAACATTCGAGGATGCATGAAACTGGCGTCCTGAACACCGATACTCCTTTTTCTCAACCATTCAGATTTGATGGCATGAGGAAGGGTAATATTATATTATATTGATCATAACAATGAGGCCAGTGATGCAGCTAAAAAAGCAATAAGACATTTGAGACATTTTGAAACATCCGATGTCCCACGACATGTTTTCTCCCTTGCTTTGTGTCTTGTTCCAGGTCGATACACTTTATTCGCTATGTATCTCTCTATGCACGCTGTAAAATGACATAACAACAGACCTATTTAACAAGAAGGCTGCTCCTCTTGTCGCAAGTCTTGCACTCCTAAAATCATGAGCGGATGATATACCGGCAAGCACTCAATCACGAAGAAACTGTAGCTTTCCATTGTCAATCAAAAATAGCGTTGCAAACAGTAGCGTCAAGCAACTCAAGGAGATGGTCGCCGCCGCATCCTTTCGCCCGGATTGCTCTCTGTTTTTTGAATGGTTGAACCCACATACCGTGGGCAAGATGACATCCTTTTGGGTGATCGCCCCACAAAACAACATCTCCAGCCAGTCTTTCAAGCATTACCAAGTTGTGTGTCGATATGCAAGCCGTTTTTATTCCAAGCATGCTTTGAAGTCCCATGCTAGGCCTACAATCACTCAGCCAGTGTGTTGTTGCGCGTCTGCTGATGTTTCTTTGGTTTCTTTGGCTTCAGCACTTCGTTTGCCAAGACTTGGCTGAGGTGGATGGTCGTGGTGATTGTCTGCGCAGACAAGGACATCCCAAGAACAGTCGCAGATGGTGAGCTGATTGCCAGTGTTGTAACGCATGTAGGCGCGGGGTGGCTGCGGGTAAGAATTACAGAAGGGATACAAATTGAATGTGGCAACTGTTCATACCAGGCCTCCAATGTTCAGACAGTTTTGCAAAGTTTTGATCATCATTTTGCCTGGTCCTGGAGGCCTGTGTTCGGACGTTGTCACGATCACCTTGAACCTTGACTCGACACTCAGTTCTTTGCAGCAACTCAGACCCAGTGACCAGATCTTGGAGGGTCTGGCAGGCGCCGTGGAGAAGATGGCAGAAAGGAACCTCTCTCATCTCATGATTTACTACGCTGGTCATGCCTTCGTTCGACGCCTAAAGTGGTCTACTAGATTGGTAACGGGAGAAAACCAAAGTTTCCATCTGGAGAGTTCTGTCCAACAGGCTATTCAAGACGCAAGGAACAGGGGCCGACTTGGCTCTTGCAAAGTTGTTCACTTTGTTGATGCATGCATGGAAATCGCAGACGATGAGGCTTCAAATGTTTCTGGAAGTGAGATGTCAAATCAGGAGGATGAACCCATGCAATATTTTGCATACAGTGTCAGCAGAGGCCACCCACAAGCAGACAATGGGCTGTTTGCAACAGTGCTGGCATATTGTTTGACATGCAGAGTTCCGACCCTGTCCATGCTTTTCCGGAACCTGAAAGCCCTGGTATCGCAGCTGTCCTGCTGGAGGCAGACTCCGCATACTTCAGAGGTTGGGAATGACATCGAGATTTTTCCTCGTGCAAGACTCCCTGACATACAGTGGCCGATGACAGAGATGCAACGGGACCGGGAACTCTTCAAAGAAACAAATTTCTTGAGCAAATATTTGTCTGAACTCGCCATAGACAAGCTTTGGCAGATACGGGGTGACTTTGGGCAGCATCATCGTGTTTGGCAGCCTTTTCGCAAAGTCGTTCTGGACTTGTGGTTCCACAAGCACCAGGAAAAAATGGTAGATACATTGAGGATGCTCCTCGCTATAGCCAGTGTGTTTGAGGAGAAAATGCAACTGATCAAGGGCTGGGCCGAATTGGAACTGATTGTAGAATGCCCAGATGATTTGGAGTGCTTTCTTGAGAAACTGAGAAAATTTGAGCAGCCTGCAACCCCAGGTCCAGAAGAGCCAAACATTCTGCCGCAGGACATCCGAGGCTGTTTAGTGGATGCTTTGAAGGCAACAGTAAAGGATGATTATGACCACTCTCCAACAGAGGGAACCTATATCACTGATGCGATACGCTTGGTTCGTGAGTTGCAGACGTGGTTTGCGGAGTGTGAGGGAATGACTCAGCAAACAGAGGAGGGCCCAAAACAGTGGAAGTACTGGTATCCTATTGTGGGGGAGGACGAGGAAGTTGCAACTCTTCCCGAGTCCCGCCTGAAGAAAATGGCTGAGCAGATCAACGATCCAAGTAGTGTCCTTGGTGTTCCATGTCGAGCCTTTTTAGCACCCGGCAGTCTGTGGATCATCATCAGGTCTCAAGGGCCCTTGCAGGTGTCAGAATTCTTGAAGAGTCTTCAACAGAAGGTTGGATCAGCCATTTGCAAAGCAATTCCAAAGCTGATGTGTGTTCCAATTCATACTGCCCCTCGAAGATTACTCCACCTTGTTCGCCAAGTGGAGAATCTTTTGGAACCTTCAAGGTGCTTGTGGCTACGAACATTCAAAGTGCAAGAGCTTGCCAGGGCACATCTCAACCAAGGAAGAAGCAAGGATGCGCAGCTGCATCCATCCCAATTGATTCTGTTTGAGGATAGCATTGAAGCCAAAAGGCTCTCATGGCTTTTTGGCTGCATCTGAAGCCCTATTTTTTCTTGGGGTCTTTCCTCCATTTTTCCCGAGAGCGTCTGAGCGCAGGGTTCTTCCAATAGTGGGGGTCTGTATCTCATCTTCTCATCTTCACATCTTCTCTCACACCTTCTCATCTTCACACCTTCTCATCTTCACACCTTCTCTCACACCTTCTCATCTTCACATCTGCTCATCTTCACATCTTCACACCGTCTCCTCTTCACACCTTCTCTCACACCTTCTCATCTTCACACCTTCTCATCTTCACACCTTCTCTCACACCTTCTCATCTTCACATCTGCTCATCTTCACATCTGCTCATCTTCACATCTTCTCATCTTCACATCTTCTCATCTTCACATCTGCTCCTCTTCGCATCTGCTCCTCTTCACACCTTCTCTCACACCTTCTCATCTTCACACCTTCTCATCTTCACACCTTCTCTCACACCTTCTCATCTTCACATCTTCTCTCTCTCTCACTCTCTCTCCTCTTTCCTCTGTCCTTTCTCTCTCTCCTTTCTCTCTCTCCTTTCTCTCTCCCTTTTCTCTCTCTCGCCTTCTTTATCTTTCTAGGGTGGTGCCGGCGGGGAGTCACGAAACGTGAGCCCTTTCGCACGAAACGAGGATCGATCGACAAAAACTGAGGTAAAATTGCGATTTTACTTGTCCCGGAGCAACCCTTTCGCACGAAATGAGGGTCGATCGGCAAAAGCTGAGGTAAAATTGCGATTTTACTTGTCCTGGAGCAACCCTTTCGCACGAAATGAGGGTCGATCGGCAAAAACTGATGTAAAATTGCGATTTTACTTGTGCCGGAGCAACCCTTTCGCACGAAATGAGGGTCGATCGGCAAAAACTGAGGTAAAATTGCGATTTTACTTGTGCTGGAGCAACCATTTCGCACGAAATAAGGGTCGAGCGACAAAAACTGAGGTAAAATTGCGATTTTACTTGTGCTGGAGCAACCCTTTCGCACGAAATGAGGGTCGATCGGCAAAAGCTGAGGTAAAATTGCGATTTTACTTGTCCTGGAGCAACCCTTTCGCGCGAAATGAGGGTCGATCGGCAAAAACTGATGTAAAATTGCGATTTTACTTGTGCTGGAGCAACCTTTATCGCACGAAATGAGGGTCGATCGTCAAAACCTGAGGTAAAATTGCGATTTTACTTGTGCTGGAGCAACCCTTTCGCACGAAAGGATGGTCGATCGTCAAAAACTGAGGTAAAATTGCGATTTTACTTGTGCCGGAGCATCTGTGTAAAAGTGTCTGTGTGTAAAAGCTTCTGTGTGTAAAAGTCTTTGTGTGTAAAGGGGTTTGTGTGTAAGAGTGTTTCTGTGTAAAGATGTTTGTGTGTAAAAGTGTTTGTGTGTAAAAGTGTTTCTGCGTAAAGATGTTTGTGTGTAAAAGGGTTTGTGTGTAAAAGTGCATCTGTGTAAAAGTGTCTGTGTGTAAAAGCTTCTGTGTGTAAAAGTGTTTCTGTGTAAACGGGTTTGTGTGTAAGAGTGTTTCTGTGTAAAGATGTTTGTGTGTAAAAGTGTTTGGGTGTAAAAGTGTATCTGTGTAAAGATGTTTGTGTGTAAAAGCTTCTGTGTGTAAAAGTGTTTGTGTGTAAAAGCTTCTGTGTGTAAAAGTCTTTGTGTGTAAACACCTTACTGTGTGTAAGAGTGTTTCTGTGTAAAGATGTTTGTGTGTAAAAGTCTTTGTGTGTAAACGGGTTTGTGTGTAAGAGTGTTTCTGTCTAAAGATGTTTGTGTGTAAAAGTGTTTGTGTGTAAAAGTGCATCTGTGTAAAAGTGTCTGTGTGTAAAAGCTTCTGTGTGTAAAAGTGTTTCTGTGTAAACGGGTTTGTGTGTAAAAGTGTTTCTGCGTAAAGATGTTTGTGTAAAAGTGTTTGTGTGTAAAAGTGCATCTGTGTAAAAGTGTCTGTGTGTAAAAGCTTCTGTGTGTAAAAGTGTTTCTGTGTAAACGGGTTTGTGTGTAAGAGTGTTTCTGTGTAAAGATGTTTGTGTGTAAAAGTGTTTGGGTGTAAAAGTGTATCTGTGTAAAAGTGTTTGTGTGTAAAAGCTTCTGTGTGTAAAAGTCTTTGTGTGTAAACACCTTACTGTGTGTAAGAGTGTTTCTGTGTAAAGATGTTTGTGTGTAAAAGCGTTTGTGTGTAAAAGTATTTCTGCGTACAGATGTTTGTGTGTAAAAGTGTTTGTGTGTAAAAGTGTCTGTGTGTCAAAGCGTCTATGTGTAAAAGCTTCTGTGTGTAAAAGTTTTTGTGTGTAAAAGCGTCTAGGTGTAAACGCTTCTGTGTGTAAAAGCTCCTGTGTGTAAAAGGGTCTTTGTTAAAAGTGTCTGTGTGTAAAAGTGTCTGTGTGAAAAAGTGTCTGTGTGTCAAAGCGTCTATGTGTAAAAGCTTCTGTATGTAAAAGCGTTTGTGTGTAAAAGCGTCTGCGTGTAAACGCTTCTGTGTGTAAAAGCTCCTGTGTGTAAAAGGGTCTTTGTTAAAAGTGTCTGTGTGTAAAAGTGTCTGTGTGTAGTGTCTGTGTGTAAAAGCATCTGTGTAAAAGCGTCTGTGTGTAAAAGCTTCTGTCTGTAAAAGCTTCTGTGGGTAAAAGCTTTGTGTGTAAAAGCTTTGTGTGTAAAAGCGTCTGTGTGTAAAAGCTTCTGTGTGCAAAAGCTTTTGTGTGTACAAGCGCCTGTGTGTAAAAGGGTCTGTGTGTAGTGTCTGTGTGTAAAAGCATCTGTGTGAAAGCTTTTGTGTGTAAAAGCTTCTGTGTGTAAAAGCTTCTGTGTGTAAAAGCTTTTGTGTGTAAAAGCGTCTGTGTGTAAAAGCTTCTGTGTGTAAAAGTGTTTGCGATGCAAACTATTGTCTTGCACTTCTCACTATTTTGTCTTGATACTCCTCTTCTCGACTGCCTATAACACATCTTTCATATATCGTTTGTAAAATTGTGTCTCCATACTAACAAGAGAAGACCCTGCTCCTCTACGCTCTCGGGCCATCCGTCGTCTAGTTTTGTGGATCAGCCTCTCTGTGATAGTGTTTAGTCCAAGGCTTAAGGGAAATGGAAAGCTTCGCTTTGTGATTCAAAAAAACTGGCGCGATCTCATGTTTCCAGACTGGTTGCTGGAGCGGCTGAATGATTGGGCAGCCCGAAGCATGGGAATGATTTCGACATCGGGTGCAAGCGACACGTGGGGAGACGAGTCCTCATTTGCTGCTGCTGTCTTTGTACTTTGCAGACGGGTGGTGCAGTGGAAATTGACTGACCGCCAGGAAGGGACAAAGGTTTCTTGTTTGCATAGAGGTGCTGCAGTTTATGAGTCCTAGAAACATGTGTCCAAGACATCATAGCAATGCTTTTTCCGTGGCTGTTTCTTGAAGAAGCAAGGTTCTTGCTGATCTCGGAGCTGAGAATTGCGCCCATCCTACGGAACTCCTGCAGCTTGTGCTGCGGAAGGTGCAGCTGCGAGAGGGACCATAGGCGTGAGAAGACCAACTGAAAAGGATGGAACCATAGAGGAAGACCTGCCAACCTGTCATTTCAAAGCTCAGGTACAGATTGGCAGATTTCGAAATCATCCATTTACCAACAATTTTGGTGTTCACTAGGGTTTTGACCCATATTCAAACCACAATCACAGGGTCAGCACTGAGACATGAGAACCTCTTCCTGTGCAGGTGCTGCAAGAAAAAACTGACCTGGCGGAGATTCTCTACCGGCAGGCGAAAGAAGGCCTAATGGCATTTTTCACCGAACCCATTGCAACCTTCACCCAGGCCGTTGATATCCTGAAAGACCCACGAACCCACCTGCGTTGGATTTTTCGTGAAGTTTGTTCCCGTGATACTCGTGGGCTGGACCCGGGGCTAAAAGGTTCTACGTCACTACTGCGAAAAAGCGAAACTTTGACAGATGCACCAGGCTCTTCTGGCAAGGTCAGTGAGAGACGAAGCGAAACTTCGACAGCCGTGCCCTCTTCAAGGAATGTCCTCGAGGAAGTGTCTGAGCTTGCGCTTGAGGAAAGCCACACTGAAGAGGCGGCAAATGTATGCGTCGAAATTTGTGGGAAGGACTTGCATTCAAATGTCAGGGCTAAAAAGTTTCAGTGTCCTGGCCCGAAGTGTGGCGCTGCAGAGTTGATATGTGAGCCACGCGATTCTTTTGCCTGCGATGTGTGCGGAAACCGAATCCCCAGCGAAGTATCTTTCTGGCACTGTCGTCAGTGTGATCGAGGCATTTGCCCCGATTGCGTTTCCAAAAGTGAGGTCACAGTGAGCCAAAAAGTTAAAGACATACGGTTTGCCATGGAGTGCCAAAGCCGCGGTGATCTGCCAAACGCAGAACTTGCTTTCCATAGGTTGCTTGATAGCACTTCAGACCCTGTGGAAAAAATCGCGCGCAAGTTTGACCTTGGCTGCGTCAAGCAGAAGATGAATAAATTGCAAGAAGCTGAGACCATCTTTCAGGAGGCCCTTGTGACAGCAGAAGCTCTGAAAGGCCGCGAAAAGGAATGCGCAGCAATCCTCCACCAACTTGGCGTGGTGCAACGCGAAAGAAAGGAGTGGTCTGAGGCTGAGAAGTATCTTCGGAAGTCCCTCGAGATGAGGATGGTGGCCAATGCTGAGACACATCAAATTGTAAAGACTGTTGTTGAGTTGGGAAGGGTGCTTTATGAGACCCATGGTGGGGATGCGGCCCTACACTTTGTCCAAGACGTCTTGGGAAATCGTCGCATGAAAGTTCTGCCGGCGCGCCTGCTCTCATGGACCCACTATGAAATAGGCAGATGGTGCTACTCCCAAGATTATATCAATTCTGCACAGAGCCATTTCGTTGAAGCTCTGTCACACGACTACTCAGTTTGTGACGGCACCTTTTCTGACAGTGACAGGGACTTAAGCTTTGCTTACACGCTTCACGAGATGGGATTGGTCGCAAAGAGTTCAAGAAAAGTGGCAGCAGCAATGGTGTGTTTCACGGAGGCTTTGCACCGAAAGATTAGGGCAAAGCGCCCAGACGAACAGGTCAAGCTCACAGAAGAGGAGCTAGGCACACTATGCATGTCGGAACCCTCACAGCCAGTGGATAGCTTTACACCTGACAACACGTGAGGACGCGGTCCAAAATAGCCCGCCCCGGCAAAGTCTAATCAAGCCAAAGATTTTATATAATGTGAGGCCGTCATGACATGCGAGGTGGGTGTATTACAGGAGCAATTCCAAAAGAGATGGTATTGAGCGACAGGCTTGAGACTTGCTCACTTTTAATGCCCCTGCCGGCCAAAAAAAATCAGAAAGAGTGTAGGTGCACAGGCCTCTGCAGCTGTATCCAATTGCAGGCAGAACACGAGTTGAGCAGAGGGCTATAAAGTGAAGAGATTGAACCTTTTTGACTGCTCCGCTTTGTAAAGAGAAAATCAACCATGATTGTGTTTTCCCTGCCCAGCAGCCTGTTGCAGAAGCGCAGAGGCTCAAGTTTGCTTGTTTCATCTCGTCTACAAAGCTCACGCACTGAAGGACTGAGTGTTTCTTGTTGATTGGCTATGGCCCGTGGCTGTAACTATAGTCCCTTCCTGGCACTTTCTTGTCTTCAATGTCTAGGCTTTTCGCTTCACTAGCTTTGCGTTACTTTCTGCATGAGGTCATTACATTACATCAGCTTTGGACCTTGAAGGGCACAATGAAAAATATACAGTGGCAACCTTACAGATAGAACATATATGTATGGAAGTTTGGCGTTCTTGGTCTAAGATTCTTAGTCCATACATTTTTGCAACCCTGCAGATAGAAAATTCATCCATACACATTTGTAATTGAATTAAGCGCCTTTGGACGTGTAAATGTGCACAAAAAATAATTATACCAGCGTTGACCCCAAACAGATGTAGAAAATCTCAATTATATTTTAGTTTGCGGCAAAGGATATCATTTCGGCATCCTTCCCTGCATTTATTGCCCGCCCTGCCCCAGGCCTCCTAAGGAACCCAGAGTGGGAGACATGTGTGGGAGACAAGTGTGGGAGACAAGTGGGAGACAAGTGTAAACTCATGCGGCCCAAGGAACCCAGAGTGGGAGACAAGTGTGGGAGACAAGTGTGGGAGACAAGTGGGAGACAAGTGGGAGACAAGTGTAAACTCATGCGGCCCAAGGAACCCAGAGTTGGAGACAAGTGTGGGAAACAAGTGTGGGAAACAAGTGTGAGAGACAAGTGTGGGAGACAAGTGTGAGAGAAAAGTGGAAGACAAGTGGGAGACAAGTGTAAACTCAGGCGGCCCAAGGAACCCAGAGTGGGAGACAAGTGTGGGAAACAAGTGCGGGAGACAAGTGTGAGAGACAAGTGTGGGAGACACGTGTGGAAGACAAGTGGAAGACAAGTGTAAACTCATGCGCCCCAAGACATCCAGAGTGGAAGACACGTGTGGGAGACGAGTGGGAGACAAGTGTAAACCCATGCGGCCCAACCCAGAGTGGGAGACAAGTGTGGAAGACAAGTGTGGGAGACAAGTGGGAGACAAGTGTAAGCTCATGCGGCTCAAGACACCCAGAGTGGGAGACAAGTGTGGGAGACAAGTGGAAAACAATTGAAAACTCATGCGGCCCAAGGCACCCAGAGTGGGAGACAAGTGCGGGAGACAAGTGTGGGAAACAAGTGTGAGAGACAAGTGTGGGAGACAAGTGTGGAAGACAAGTGGAAGACAAGTGGGAGACAAGTGTAAACTCAGGCGGCCCAAGGAACCCAGAGTGGGAGACAAGTGTGGGAAACAAGTGTGGGAGACAAGCGTGAGAGACAAGTGTCGGAGACACGTGTGGAAGACAAGTGGAAGACAAGTGTAAACTCATGCGGCCCAAGACATCCAGAGTGGGAGACACGTGTGGGAGACGAGTGGGAGACAAGTGTAAACCCATGCGGCCCAAGGAACCCAGAGTGGGAGACAAGTGTGGAAGACAAGTGTGGGAGACAAGTGGGAGACAAGTGTAAACTCATGCGGCCCAAGACACCCAGAGTGGGAGACAAGTGTGGGAGACAAGTGGAAAACAAGTGAAAACTCATGCGGCCCAAGGCACCCAGAGTGGGAGACAAGTGCGGGAGACAAGTGGGAGACAAGTGTAAAATCATGCGGCCCAAGGAACCCAGAGTGGGAGACAAGTGTGGGAAACAAGTGTGGGGACAAGTGTGGGAGACAAGTGGGAGACAAGTGTAAACTCATGCGGCCAAAGGCACCCAGAGTGGGAGACAAGGGGGAGACAAGTGATAACTCATGCGGCCCAAGGACTCTAGAGTGGGAGACAAGTATGGGAGACAAGTGGGGGACACATGTAAACTCATGCGGCCCAAGGCACCCAAGTGTGAGGCACAAGTGGGAGACAAGTGTAAACTCATGCGGCCCAGGCCAACAGAGTGGGAGACAAGTGCGGGAGACAAGTGGGAGACAAGTGTAAACTCATGCGGCCCAAGGCACCCAGAGTGAGAGACAAGTGTGGGAGACAAGGGGGAGACAAGTGTAAACTCATGCGGCCCAAGGAACCCAGAGTGGGAGACAAGTGTGGGAGACAAGTGGGAGACAAGTGTAAACTCATGCGCTCCAAGACACCCAGAGTGAGAGACAAGTAAGGGACACAAGTGGAAACAAAGGGTAAACTCATGCGGCCCAAGGCACCCAGAGTGGGAGACGGAGAGAAGTGTAAACTCATGCGGCCCAAGGAACCCAGAGTGGGAGACAAGTGTGGGAGACACGTGTGGAAGACAAGTGGAAGACAAGTGTAAACTCATGCGGCCCAAGGCACCCAGAGTGGGAGACAAGTGTGGGAAACAAGTGTGGGAGACAAGTGGGAGACAAGTGTAAAATCATGCGCCCCAAGACATCCAGAGTGGGAGCCACGTGTGGAGACGAGTCGGAGACAACTGTAACATCATGCGGCCCAAGGCACCCAGAGTGGGAGACAAGTGTGGGAGACAAGGGCGAGACAAGTGTAAACTCATGCGGCCCAAGGAACCCAGAATGGGAGACAAGTGTGGGAGAAAGGTGTAAACTCATGCGGCCCAAGGAACCCAGAGTGGGAGACAAGTGTGGGAGACAAGTGGGAGACAAGCGGGAGACAAGTGTAAACTCAGGCGGCCCAAGGAACCCAGAGTGGGAGACAAGTGTGGGAAACAAGTGTGGGAGACAAGTGTGAGAGACAAGTGTGGGAGACACGTGTGGAAGACAAGTGGAAGACAAGTGTAAACTCATGCGCCCCAAGACATCCAGAGTGGGAGACACGTGTGGGAGACGAGTGGGAGACAAGTGTAAACCCATGCGGCCCAACCCAGAGTGGGAGACAAGTGTGGAAGACAAGTGTGGAAGACAAGTGTGGGAGACAAGTGGGAGACAAGTGTAAACTCATGCGGCCCAAGACACCCAGAGTGGGAGACAAGTCTGGGGCGGCCAAAGGCACCCAGAGTGGGAGACAAGTGTGGGAGACAAGTGGAAAACAAGTGAAAACTCATGTGGCCCAAGGCACCCAGAGTGGGAGACAAGTGCGGGAGACAAGTGTGGGAAACAAGTGTGAGAGACAAGTGTGGGAGACAAGTGTGGAAGACAAGTGGAAGACAAGTGTGAGACAAGTGGGAGACAAGTGTAAACTCAGGCGGCCCAAGGAACCCAGAGTGGGAGACAAGTGTGGGAAACAAGTGTGGGAGACAAGTGTGAGAGACAAGTGTGAGAGACAAGTGTGGGAGACACGTGTGGAAGACAAGTGTAAACTCATGCGCCCCAAGACATCCAGAGTGGGAGACACGTGTGGGAGACGAGTGGGAGACAAGTGTAAACCCATGCGGCCCAAGGAACCCAGAGTGGGAGACAAGTGTGGAAGACAAGTGGGAGACAAGTGTAAACTCATGCGGCCCAAGACACCCAGAGTGGGAGACAAGTCTGGGGCGGCCAAAGGCACCCAGAGTGGGAGACAAGGGGGAGACAAGTGATAATTCATGCGGCCCAAGGACTCCAGAGTGGGAGACAAGTATGGGAGACAAGTGCGGGACACATGTAAACTCATGCGGCCCAAGGCACCCAAGTGTGAGGGACAATTGGGAGACAAGTGTAAACTCATGCGGCCCAGGCCAACAGAGTGGGAGACAAGTGCGGGAGACAAGTGGGAGACAAGTGTAAACTCATGCGGCCCAAGGCACCCAGAGTGAGAGACAAGTGTGGGAGACAAGGGGGAGACAAGTGTAAACTCATGCGGCCCAAGGCACCCAGAGTGGGAGACAAGTGTGGGAGACAAGTGTGGGAGACAAGTGTGGGAGACAAGGGGGAGACAAGTGTAAACTCATGCGCTCCAAGACACCCAGAGTGAGAGACAAGTAAGGGACACAAGTGGAAACAAAGGGTAAACTCATGCGGCCCAAGGCACCCAGAGTGGGAGACAAGTGTGGGAGACAAGTGTGGGAGACAAGGGGGAAACAAGTGTAAACTCATGCGGCCCAAGGCACCCAGAGTGGGAGACAAGTGTGGGAAACAAGTGTGGGAGACAAGTGGGAGACAAGTGTAAAATCATGCGGCCCAAGGCACCCAGAGTGGGAGACAAGTGTGGGAGACAAGGTCGAGACAAGTGTAAACCCATGCGGCCCAAGGAACCCAGAGTGGGAGACAAGTGTGGGAGAAAGGTGTAAACTCATGCGGCCCAAGGAACCCAGAGTGGGAGACAAGTGTGGGAGACAAGTGTGGGAGACAAGTGTGGGAGACAAGTGGGAGACAAGCGGGAGACAAGCGGGAGACAAGTGTAAACTCAGGCGGCCCAAGGAACCCAGAGTGGGAGACAAGTGTGGGAAACAAGTGTGGGAGACAAGTGTGTGAGACAAGTGTGGGAGACACGTGTGGAAGACAAGTGGAAGACAAGTGTAAACTCATGCGCCCCAAGACATCCAGAGTGGGAGACACGTGTGGGAGACGAGTGGGAGACAAGTGTAAACCCATGCGGCCCAACCCAGAGTGGGAGACAAGTGTGGAAGACAAGTGTGGGAGACAAGTGGGAGACAAGTGTAAACTCATGCGGCCCAAGACACCCAGAGTGGGAGACAAGTGTGGGAGACAAGTGGAAAACAAGTGAAAACTCATGCGGCCCAAGGCACCCAGAGTGGGAGACAAGTGCGGGAGACAAGTGGGAGACAAGTGTAAAATCATGCGGCCCAAGGAAGCCAGAGTGGGAGACAAGTGTGGGAAACAAGTGTGGGAGACAAGTGTGGGAGACAAGTGGGAGACAAGTGTAAACTCATGCGGCCAAAGGCACCCAGAGTGGGAGACAAGGGG